GCCTTATCACAAGTCCATTGTTTTTGAATGTTGGTGCTACTTCTGCTATATTTTCACACTTAAAACAATAATTTGGTATTCCTCTTTTACCATTGTCCTCTTTTATGCTAAGAAATAAGTCACCTGGCAGTTCTCTCCCGAGTGGTTCCACTGCTGCCAGCATTAAGTCTGAGTATGATTCAGTGGGCTATATAACACATTTAATTTTCAGGAAATTACTTGTTTTGGTTCAACATACTTACTTGTTGATCAAAAATAGCCTTAAACCTATACACTTTTTAATTTTAGTAACTTTCAGGGTATCACTTTGTTAAGAAAATCTTATTTTGCTGAATAATTTTGGCATTCTTCTTTGGTAATTGATCAAGCAGGCTTGTTGGAACATTACATCTCCAAAGAACCCTAACATGTCTTGTAAGTAAAGAGTAATTGCTGAATTTAAGTTTTAGAGGGGGTGTACTCATTTATGCTGTGCACTGTATATATAACCCAGTGAATTAAATATTTACAATTAAACATTTATGAATACATTTAATAATAATAATAATAATAATAACAAATGTAGTAATTTTAATAATAATAATAATAATTATTAAATATATATTAAATATTTATAGTAATATATAATTTATATATATTTATATAATATATATTTATTATATTTCATTTAATATATAATAAATATTATTGTTATTAACATTTAACATTAATCTACTATATTATTAAATGAATGTTGTGTTAACAATAATATATATTTATATGTATGTTATTGAAATTAAAAATAATAATAAAATAATACATTGTCACTTTTATACATTAATATATTTTAGTGATAGATATTTTATATCTATCTATCTATATATAATAGATATAAAATAGATAAACTTCTTAAGTATTACAAATCTGAAGTATTAATGGGTTGTAACTTGTAATATATAATGTATATAAAAACAGATAGTTCTCTAAATTCTGATTGGATGAGCCATATTCACATTTTCTAACTAATCTGTGCTTTATTTACACCCCTTCTTGAGGTTTTTCACATTAATCCATGTTTCTTCATCACTTCCAAATGTAAATCGCTGTCCTGCCCACAAATACAGCTTAATCTGCCAACTGTCTCTATATCCCATCATACCGCCCAGTCCTGCCAGTCGCTATGGTTACAAACCAGGACGTTCTGTATCTGTTGGTTGCTTGCCGTGCTACAACAGTATGACCGCTGCCTGTGTGTGTGTGTGTGTGTGTGATGTTTCCTCATGTAACACAATAACGCCAGTGTCGCATTTCTGGAGTGTCTTTCTGCATCTGTGTTGAATGCGTGACGTTACTGCATCATATTCCAGATCTCATCCTCGTGATTATGAAGAGAAATGTGGGAGCGGTTGGATCAAAGAAAGCAAATGTCGTGGAGCGTTGCGTGTTTGCAGTGAGCGCAGCTCTAAAATAGACAGTGCAGCTGCCGCTTAAAATAGCTCATTCATTAATTACATACACACACCGCAGAAACACACAAATTGCAGGGTTTGTTGGGTTTCCCAGTAGAATTACAGCTCGTAATTCAATTTTACATCTCGCAATTCTATTTACAGCTTGCAATTCGAGGTTACAGCTCGCAATTCTGTTCACAGCTCGCAATTCTGTTCACAGCTCTCAATTCTGTTCACAGCTTGCAATTCTGTTCACAGCTTGCAATTCTGTTTACAGCTCGCAATTAGAGGTTACAGCTCGCAATTCTGTTCACAGCTCGCAATTCTGTTTACAGCTCACAATTCGATTTTACATTTCGCAATTCTGTGTACAGCTCGCAATTCTGTTCACAGCTTGCAATTTGAGTTTACAGCTCGTAATTCGATTTATATCTGGCAATTCTGTTTACAGCTCGTAATTCGATTTTACATCTCGCAATTCTACAATTCTGTTCACAGCTCGCAATTCTGTTTACAGCTCACAATTCGATTTTACATTTCGCAATTCTGTGTACAGCTCGCAATTCTGTTCACAGCTTGCAATTTGAGTTTACAGCTCGTAATTCGATTTATATCTGGCAATTCTGTTTACAGCTCGTAATTCGATTTTACATCTCGCAATTCTATTTACAGCTCGCAATTCGAGGTTACAGTTCGCAATTCTGTTCACAGCTTGCAATTCTGTTTACAGCTCGCAATTCTGTTCACAGCTTGCAATTCTATTTACAGCTCGCAATTCGAGGTTACAGCTCGCAATTCTGTTCACAGCTCGCAATTCTGTTTACAGCTCGCAATTCGAGGTTACATCTCGCAATTCTGTTTACAGCTCGCAATTCGAGGTTACAGCTCGCAATTCTGTTCACAGCTTGCAATTCTATTTACAGCTCGCAATTCGAGGTTACAGCTCGCAATTCTCTTCACAGCTCGCAATTCTCTTCACAGCTCGCAATTCTGTTTCTGCGTTTACATCTCGCAATTCTGTTTACATCTCGCAGTTCTGTTTACAAGTCGCAATTCTGTTTACAACTCGCAATTCTGTTTACAACTCGCAATTCTGTTTACAATTCGCAATTCTGTTTACAGCTCGCAATTCGAGGTTACAGCTCGCAATTCTGTTCACAGCTCGCAATTCTGTTTAACAGCTCGCAATTCTGTTCACAGCTCGCAATTCTGTTCACAGCTCGCAATTCGATTTTACATCTCGCAATTCTGTTTACAGCTCGCAATTCAATTTTACATCTCGCGATTCGAGTTCACAGCTCGCAATTCCGCGTTTACATCTCGCAATTCTGCGTTTATATCTCACAATTCTGCGTTTACATCTCGCAATTCTGCATTTATATCTCGCAATTCTGTTTACAGCTCACAATACTGCATATACATCTCACAATTCTGCGTATACATCTCGCAATTCTGCGTTTACATCTCGCAATTCTGTGTTTATATCTCGCAATTATGCGTTTACATCTCGCAATTCTGTTTACATCTCGCAATTCTGTTTACAGCTCACAATTCTGTTTACAGCTCACAATTAAATTTTATAGCTTGCAATTCTGTGTTTACATCTCGCAATTCTGCGTTTACATCTCGCAATTCTGCGTTTACATCTCGCAATTCTGTTTACATCTCGCAGTTCTGTTTACAAGTCGCAATTCTGTTTACAACTCGCAATTCTGTTTACAACTCGCAATTCTGTTTACAATTCGCAATTCTGTTTACAGCTCGCAATTCGATTTTACACCTCGCAATTCTGTTTACAGCTCACAATTGAATTTTACATCTCGCAATTCTGTTTACAGCTCGCAATTTGATTTTACAGCTCGCAACTCTGAACAAAAAGTCTGAATTGTGAGGGATAAACTATAGGAAAATTGGAAAAATGCCCAAATTGTGAGATAAAAATTGCAATTATGTGGTGGAAGCGTGCCTCCATAGTTTTAGACTGCATGATAGGAAAAAAGGGAGGCAAGCGAAAATATTATAAATTACATTTGTAAATAAGTCCTGGTTTTGCCTTTGAGGTCTCTCGTCCAGTCAAATAGACACTTTTTATTAACTTTATTCTGGTAATTTTGTGCAGGAGTGAATCTAATTTAATCATTTCCCTGATACAAAATCACATTTGTTGCATTAGATTATAAGATTAAATGCTTTGTTTCATCACCTTTTTCTGTATATCTTGGGAAAACTTGTGTGTTTGTTCCCAGTAGTTTTCTGTTCTGTAGTTTTATGTGCAAGTGCACCCAGAAGATGCTCTAGAACGTAAATGTCAGCTCCAGTCCCGGTTCCCGTTAGGAAATAAGTCATCTGGCATCACCAGGATGCGTTTTACAGATCAGTTATTTTAATCATCTTATGCTAATGTGCATTTTTACCACACATATGTTTCACTCTTTGCACAAAATATTTGAATTTAGTCTGTTGCATCTGTTGTTCATCTCCCGTTAGGTCTCTTAGGAAGTGCATTTGAAGCGTAATGAAAGTCACGCACAGACGGGTTCAGTTTTTGTCCGTGAGCTTGAAGCGCGTCTCTGAGCAGTTGTTTTGAGAGCTGATCTGTGTAACGTAACACAATTGATGAAGATTTACTGAACTCTGGAACTGTTTTGAGTATCTTTAGCTGTTAAATACACAGAACCATTGACTGATGATTGATTATTGGTTTTCTGGACAGCTGCTCTTGTGCAGGAGGGCAGCGCATTACATTTGTGACCCTGGAGTCTTAAGTCGCTGAGGTAGCAATAGCCAACAATACATTGTATGGGTCAAAATTATACATTTTTCTTTTATGCCAAAAATCATTAGGATATTAAGTAAAGATCATGTTCCATGAAGATATTTTGTAAATTTCCTACCGTAAATATATCAAAACTTAATTTTTGATTAGTAATATGCATTGCTAAGAACTTTA